TAGGGAAAGCAAACAGCTCCTGGAAAACACTGCTAGAAACACATGAAGACAGAACCACCTCCACACATGGTGTTTGTTGGATTGTAGGAAGTAACGCTGTGGCTGAAAGCTTGTTAGGCTGTTGCAGTCTTCATGGATGTTATTTTTTTCAGCGTATGTGCATGTGGTTTGCTTTGTCCTGTTTTCTTTTAAACCATGGAAGAAGGAGCTCCATGTCTACCTGGATGTTTTGATGCATGCATGGTTAATAACTGTTCCTGAAAACTCAACTGTAGTAAGCACACAGTCAGTGTTCCAGGGGAGGGAAAACTGCTCAGCTTAAGATGTGGCAAGTCAAACATGAACCTAAGAGGGTATTTATAGTAGATTACATCATACAAGTCTTACAGTAATTGAAAATTATAAATATAGTCCTTATCCACAATGACTTATTTTGCTGTACTTTAGTCTATTAAAAAACCCTAATTCATCTTATAAGTAAAAAAAGGAACCCATGTTGATGTAGTTAGTTGTTGAGTGCGTAGAAGTGTGATTTAAATAGAAGGTGAAAACAGATAGAGGAAGCATCCACATGATGGTCTGCTCTTCTTTTTTTCCTCTTTCAATTAGTAGTTCCTTCTACCAGGCCTACTCTCTCTTCTCTTGTGCTAGTACCTCTTCCCTTCCATGCCTTCTAAGTAACTGGGCTGGTCTCATAATCTACGATAGACTTGCAGTTGCTTTTTAATACTGAATTCCCTTACACAAGACCCATTTAGCATCTCTAGAAATTGTAGTGATGTAAAACTAACCTTTCATATACAGGCATCTATTACAGTAGTCCTCACCACCTTGTCTCAACTCCAGTAGCTCTCTCCTTAACAACTTTCCTGACTCAGTTCAAGGGTTATGACAATTGTCATAATCTCATGCACAGTTCCTGAGGTCTGAGTGCTGGTAGGATTCAGGTACCTACTTGGATTCGTCCATTGTGAAGAGCTTATTAAAGAGAAAAGTCTGTGAAATGTATTGTTTTTCTTGTCAGGCCTTGTCTGAAAATGAACTACAGCACACTCACTCTGGAATGTAGAGCTAATTATCAACGCAAAGAAATGCATAAGAACCTGACTAAAAGGAAGAACAGCTTGGAGTCACTCCCAGTACCAGTCTCGGACAAATGAAAGCACTTATAACAGGAAATGTAGGTAAGGTAGCATCAGACATACACTTCCAATCTTCCCATTTCCACCAAGAAGCAGAGACGCCTACAAATCCTTGAGATCTATCTTCAAAAGAACTACCTATGAGGTTAGAGACCCTATTGATATCGTCTGGTACAAACATCAGAGCTCTACCACAAACACTCTGACTAGCATCATCTACCAGAGGAAATACCATTCATAGGTGGGCAGCTGTAGCCTTAACTGGGCGCAGAGAAAAATGACGAGGTCAAAGACTGGTAAAACTTTTTAGTTTTATTAAAAATTGGCAGTTGCATCCCTCCTTTGCTAAGCTGGGCAAGTTTCTGTTGTTTGGTTGGGTGGGCTTTTTTTTTTTTTCTCTATTTTCCTGTGCCATAGGATATTTTTGGGTTAGTGAGCTCTGAAAGCAAAAATAAGCAGCAACCACAAAGCAATTATCACCAGAGCAGGCTGAGCAAACAGCGTATCTTTTTGCCATGAGTCTTCCTTCCTCAGAATGACAGACCAGGCTTCCGCGATCCTGTCAGCTTGCGTGAGATACAGGAAATGCCTGCCAGAAGCCAGTCTCCTCTGGATGTCTTAAATGGACATGATGACGCAGTGTGTGCCAGCCTGCTGCCCCTGCATGGCTGTGTTTTTTTTGTGATAAACAATACTAAGGCAAAAGACCTTCTGGCTCATTAGCTCAGATACAGGTATAATTAAGCAGAATTGAAGAAAAGCTTTAGTTCCAAATTTGTTTTTAGACTGAACAGATCAGAATAAGAATTCTTAAGGATAAGGTACCTAATTAGACCTATGAACAGGGCTGTAAAAGTTTTGAAGTTTACTTGCACTGAGAAACATCAGCCTGCATCAGGAACAGTCTACATGCAGAATCCGACATTAACTTGACTTTCAACTCTTGCTTAAAGCTTAAGACTTAGAAGTTTGATACATACAGTCACACAAAAATATAAAGATTGATTAGGTAAACTGACCCTGTCTAATAATAATATTTATTTTAGTTACAGCAAGCATAAGGCTTCTCTTATATTACTAAGACATGGAACCAAGGATGAGTATGTTGCTGGAGGTTAAAAAAAGAAAAATCTAAACAAAACCATTTCAATCAGTAGTTCAAGTAACCCACAGATTCCTTCCCTTCTCCTATACGATTCTTAATTCAAATACAGGTCAAATCAGCAGTACATGACACCCTAGAAACTGCTCTGGAGACTTAAATGAAGGGAAACAATGGTCCCAGAGTAGATTCTTGTGGAGAAATTGAGCAAAGGTCAAAATCAGGTGATAAAGGAGTTGAACTGAGATTGCTTCGTGTTTGAAATACTGTAGAGACTTTTCCTCATACTGTTGTCACTGAGTTCTACTTGCTTTCTGCATGGTGTTTCCATAGTTGTCTGCACTCTTCCCTTCCTTGACACTGAAGGATTACAAGGAGTTGATCAGGTTTCCAAGTGAGGTGATTTCTTTCCTTAAATCTACGGCATTACTTGTATAGGTGAACAAGCAGTAAAAAGATCTAGTAGAGAAGAAATTATAAAGTTTATCTTGAGAAGACTTTGAAGTATCTGAAGATAGTGAAACACAACACAGGCTGAACAGCAGGTGACTAATTGAGTTGCTCACAGTCAGTGATGTGACTGCATCTCCTGTTAATGGTGAAATTCTATCATCAGCTGTGGCAGCAGGGAAGGGTGTAAGGTATAACCTTCCCAAGGCAGACATTATTCCAAGCAGCACACACTAATATGACATGTTCTATGCTATAATTTAGTAAACTATTACCATAACACAAGTGGAAAAATGTTAGTTTGTTAGTGCCCACTATAGAACTGAAACATATTACCCACCCTCACCCCCAAGCCTTAGGACACCTTTCTGGGTGATATTGCTTTCTGTCACTGAAATACTAAAATTCCTAGTTTGTTTTGAATAACTAATTTCAGTTGTCTGTCTTCTCACTGGCAGATCGTCTTCATTTTCCAGTCCTAGCAACTGCCTGAATTGCTTTGATCCACTCTGTACGCTCTGCGGGTGAGGCTGCTTGCAAGTAATAGTGGATTTCATTTGCCGTGATGATTTCAAAGAGGATGTTGTCAACATCATACTTCTTGGCTACAGAGAAGAAATAAGGAAGTCAGCTATAAGAGAATAAAATCTTGTATTTACAATGTTTCTTCCTTTACACACTGTAAGGGGATTTCCTTCCTTTCTACAGCTGTGCCTGATCAGACCTTCGCAAACATCACAAGATTGGGTCCATGAGACAGGTCTCTCAGAGAAACAACCCATGAATTCTGCACATTTCACTTTCAAGAGTCTACGGTTAACTGATTTCCAATCATGGAAGGACCTGCAATCCTGCAGACAGGTCACATTCCCCAAACCCTCCTGTGCCTTGCCAGCTACAAAACCAAGACATTTAAGTTCATGTCACATCCAGAATGTCTGGTCCTTTTCATATCTGCCAGCACAGCTTACACAGGTGCTGAGATGCCAACAGACTTTCTTACTGGGTATGACAGTCTGCCTCTCCTGTGGAGAGGCAAATGCATGGAATGAGCGTTCCTTGTTCCTTGCAGCAAGGCTTAACCACTGCTGTTACCCACAACTTCTAGTTTCGGGAGGGAACAGAATGTGAACAGTAATAATTTGTTGGCATAACTACTTCTAACATAAAGCTTCCATCCCAATTTCATCAGCTAAAAAGCGCAAACTCAGCTTACTTTGGCTAAGGCCAGTTATCCTAACATAGGGATGGCGTCATCCATTTGACATCTTCTCTAAACAACTGACAAAACACCTGTTCCTACCTTTGCCACAGTATCCTTCTCCAGTAATTAAGACATCAACAGAGAGCCTAGTTACTAGAAGAATTACTAAATCATTGCACATAGATTGCTTTTGAGTAAAAACCACTTGTGATTTCAGGCAGATTGAAAGAATGTACCAAAAACTTATTACACAGCTCATTCAATATAGTTCCTTACAGTCTGGCATGTCTTCCACTGCTGTCACCACGCAGCCTCTCAAGTGAATTGCTCCTAACGGTTCTTCACCCTGGTGAGGACATGAAATCAAAAATGAAATACAGCACTTTTGAAACTGTTCACATGTTAATATCTGGCTACAACACCAGAATGGAAACAAAAACATTTGCTGACTTGGTATGTCACCTGGAAAATGAGGGGATCTTGAGTCTGTGCGTGACATGGAGGGTGGGGGGTGTGGTAGGGGGAAGACCTGCAAATAAATAGGAAATCAAATTCTGGGATTTTGAATTCAGGATCTGCAGCGTATTTAATGTATCCTGAACAAAGGTGCAAGAAGAATCTAAGCTTTGTGTCAACTATAACTTTTCTTTTGACGTCACAGTGAACAGAAAAAAAGATTAGTTAGAAAAAGAGTAGATCTTAGAAGTGTTCTTACCAAGCAGCAAGAGCAGCTATACCTTTATTTACAATTTGGCCTCTTGTGCACTTCAAGACTGTGATAGTCAAAGAACAGGTGAAGATGCATTTTTGTTGGCACAAGTTTCAAAGAAGCAGTCTCTATAAGCTGACACACCTCAGCCCTTTGGGAAGGGATGCCAGGAGCAGGAAAGGCAAGCCAGGAATAGGGAGGTTCAACACTTCTCAGTGTTAATTCTCCAGCGCGTCTGGGCCGCCTCTGCCAAGGGGGACAGGCATGGCAGAAAGCACCTGTAACCCACAATGGCACTGCTCCTGCAGCAACACAGGATGAAATAATACCTGTGGGCTGAATCTACCTGAACACCAGCTTTTGGGGGGCAGGTTTTGCCCATGGCAATGCTCCTTCCTTCCTTAGGGCAGGGTTTGGCCCATTAGAATTACACAAGAAACGGAATGCCCTGTCTCAGCCTGACACAGAAAATACCTCAATTCTAAACTGCAAAATGATTGTGTTGTGTTCATTTGCACTTATGATCCAGTTCATTTTAATCATAGATAAGAGGTGAGAGCACAGTTCAGTGCTACCTGTTCTGACTTGGCAGCCCCAGAAACCACCCTTCACTCTGCTTTTGCAGGGAATGGCCAGGCTGTGTAACCACAAACAGCCCCGCTGTCCTGCTTGGTCTTCCCTATCACATACTCCCATGCAAATATTCCATTCAGATATTTCCACAGAATGTTGGCTTTAAAAAAAAACAGGGAGATAAACCAAACATCTCTTACTCCAGCAGGATCATAGTAGTGAAGATACGCAGGGTCCTCTCTTAAAACAAACTTTCTCACCTTCCAGTTCTTCCTCCGATGTCCCTAGGAAAATTCAAAAACAGGAATGTGATGAACTGCTTTGCCTGCAAATGCTTACAGTCACCTTACACATGAGAGAACAGACAAATACAAAAGGGGAAAAGCTGAATATTTTGACAGGACTTGAACCTGGCCTTTCGGTATCCCGCTGTTTTGCACAACTGGGCTATCACACTGGTTTCTCTCCCTAATTTTTGCACAAAGCAGAGCAGTTTCAACATAGGAGATTGCTCTAAACAGATCTGAGTCAGGTAGTTACAACGTTCATGTGAGGTCTGTGAGAACTGGGTTTAAATGCTTACCAGAAAACATGGCTGAAAAATATCTTGAAGGAAGGTACCTTGAATTATTGACAAGAATGAGCTGAAGGTCCTACCCTCCCCGCAAAGGCAGTAACTACTGACAACAACAAAAAAGGCTTATCTGGTTTAAGCACCCTGGAAGAGGGTTTGTGGCTGAGAAGCTCAAGCAGAAATAACACCATCTTCTGATATGGACGGAGATGCCTCATTGCCTGTTTTCAAGAGTGAAATGATGGGTGGGGATAATCTAGATCTGCTGAAAACATTCTCAGCAGAAGCAGTAACACTTCCAAGCAATGATCCACCCTCACTGAGGGTGACCAAATCCAGGCTAACACTGGTGGAAGACTGTCATGAATCACTTCCTCTCAACATTTCAAAATATTGGTTTCTCAATTAGCTTTGTTTGCAGGGAGGCTCTTACTAACTAGGCAGATATGAATGTGATCGGGTCAAAGGTAGCAGAGACGCATATCCAATTTCTTCCTTTGCTTTTGAGTAATCTGATTGAACAAGAGAAATAAGTGACCACCACCAAAAAATTCTTAGGCTCCCAAGGAATATTTTAACAGTGGAGGTTTAGACTGGACATTAATAAGCATTTTTTTACAGAAAGGGTGGTCAAACACCGGAACAGGCTTCCTAGAGAGATGGTCAATGCTCCATGTCAGTGTTTAAGAGGCATTTAGACAATGCCCTTAATACCATGCTTTAACTTTTGGTCAGCCATGAAGTGGTCAGGCAGTTGGACTAGATAATCATTGTAGGTCCTTTCCAACTGAACTATTCTATTCTTTGGAGAATCCTGGTTTTGCCTTCAGTTCACTAATATCTGCTTGCAATGGCCTCGGAAAGTAAGGATCTTACCATGATGTTCACCATATTGCTTCAAGTTTAGCTGGAAAGGAAGATATACAGTTATCTTCCCTCTTACAGATGGGACAGGATCAAACGTTAGTGACTGAAAGGACTCCTTTGCTCCAGTATGCTGAAAAAGCCTGTGAAAACTGGCAACTGAATTCAGTTGTGTGTCCAGAGGGACCCTGGATTGGCAGCCTCTTTACCTGAGTTGTTCTGCATTGTACCAATGACTTGTCACATCTGCTTTACAACTCTTTCCTAATTAAAACCATAAACTGTCTTATTTCATAGTAAGACCAATAAACCTCGCCACACTGGGCAAAAGCCCTGCTGCCATGCTACAGCAAGTGTTCTTTGTGCAAAGGCAAAGAGGACAGAGATGAAACCTGTCAAGTGTGGAGATAGCATAAGCGAGTTTCTCTCTTCTCTAAAGCTTTTAAGCATAAAAGAGTAATCTTGTATCCATGCAACATCATCCCAGTGACAGAATGGAACACGTGCAATACTAACCTGTTTCAGCAAACATCCTTGTTTGACTACTATGCCTCTGAATTCTTCTTTCAAGACCACATCATCATCGCTAGAATTTCCCTCGCAGAAAAACCCACTGTCTGGCTGCATGACCACAAGAGAAAATTCAGAAGTTACACAGCTGCTGCATGTTTATCTACACGTACAAATCTGGCTTCTCTCCACCCTGCTTTTTGCCACTCAAAAAATCAACCCTTTTACTGGAAAAATCTCCCAGTGAAGTTGAGGAGCTCTACAGGTCACCATGGAAGTAGACCAGTGAGTCTCAGAGCATCTGAAGAGAGCTGGAGCATCTGTGTACATGTCAGTACCTCCATTCTCCATGATTCTTGGTATCACATTTCCCCCATGATGGACAGGCTGCCTCAATCCCATGATGTCACAGGTTTTTAAATGCACAGACAGCAGTTCATACAAAGCAATGCCAGCACAGCCAATACATTCCAAGCTGGTCATCCCTGCACCCAATACACCCTTCCTCTTCCTCCATCCATCATAACCATCCAGAATTTGGGAAGAAGAAATGCTCCATCTAGGCTGCCTTCTCCAACGAGAACTGCCTCTAATTTTTTAAATTTGCAATTTTCTATAGCTGTGATGTTGTGATGTGTGCACTGAACATAGGCTGTCTCAGGATCCATGCATCACATCCATTCCACACCAGATAAATTGTGATACTACCTACTGAACCCTTACACTGTTCAAATGATGTAAACATAGGTAACCATTCACATGGCTTAGAGCAAATGTCTGTGCTGCCTACTTGCACGATAGCAAGTCAGACATTGACCTGCTGTGGCCTCCTCACACCACATTGGGATTGACTCAAACTAGAAACAAGCTGAAAGCAAGCAGAGCGCGCATGGGCTGCTAAGAGAAGTGTCCCAGGTAGCCAGGAACTGTGATGGTCACAAGGCTGCATCATCAGCAGTGTCTCTGCGTCCATTGCTGCACAGGTAAAGTCTCCCTACCAGGGACACATTCTAGGAAAACAAATGAAGTAATGGGAGATTCATTTTGCTGAAGTCGAGTGATTCTATGTGGTAAATATAAACAAAATTGTAATATTTAATAAGCATTTTACCTGACAGAAGGCATACTTTTTTGTTAGCATAAGTTCATAAGCCAAACATCTTTAAAACAGTAATTGACTGTGATTGTGATAATGCAAGTTCTTCAAATCAATCTACAGAATATGAAGCAATGAATTGAAAAAGTTGGGTAATCTACCCAGGACAGGTGTTATTGGTGGATATTAAAAACTTTTGCTTCTCCACTCACAGCCAAGCTGTGTGTGCGTGTGCATGCGTGCTGAGTCAGATTTGATGGCTCTGCACAGACATGGGTTTGTAGCTTGGGCCACTCTGAGAAGCCCCATGATAATGCATTCCTCTCTTCCCTTCCACTGAATCATCAGGGGAACTGATGGCTGAATTCTGGTCACTGGTGAAACTACCAGGAACAAAGTTTAAGTTAAAAAGAACCCAGCTTGATCTCATCACCCAGTTCACACTTAAGACAGGTGCCAGAAAAAAAAAAATGTCCTGCTTGCAAATATTAAAGTGAGCCAGTTCATTCTGAGTATCATGTAGAGAAAGACAATTAACACAGATCTCTCCATTTCTGTACACTCTTCCCTCCAGGACTTAAGAAACCCAACAAGAAGCCTAAGAAAAGCAGAGCATCGGCAAGACTGGAACAATAAAATAAACTAAAAAAAACCCCCAAAGAACCAAAACCAACAAACCAAAACCAGAATACAACACTCACAAAGTAATAGTAGGCATCGCTGAGATCTAAGAAGGGGGTGTCTGACAGGCCCTCGGCAGCAGCCTTGGATGTATCCCCTGCAGGCTGTAGATAGCCTTCACTCAAGAGGGAAGAGGCAAGCATGAGACCTTCTTTGCGATTTCGGATGGAGTTGCTAGACACCAGCCAGTCAATCACAGAGGTGCCTGGTTACAAAGGAACAAATAATACCAGTCACAAACCAAGTCAGACGTGAAGAAGCCTAAAAATACACAGGCAACAAGGCTACTCTATTCATCAATCTCCTGAAAGATGTTCTTAGTGACAACACAGGGAACTAATCTGGAAAGGTCTCTTGGTCATTTAGTGAGGTAGATCTGACTGATGGCAGGGGCCACTCATGAACACTGTACCTGAGGGAAGCCTCAGGGACAGGGGAAGTATGAAGGGCAGCCAAGCTTAGAGAAGGCTGTCTTCCAGGCTGCTATGTTACTGACACAGTGCTGTTGAAACAGGGTGATCCACAGGTTTGACTTGGAGCAGGAGAGGAATTACAATGTGACACAGTTTGTCGATGAAAAAGTCAGAAGGGAATAATTCTTCTGGAGTTAAGTGTTTCATGCAACTTTCTACAAAGATCTGCTTCAATCTTTCTAGCACTGGTTAAATTTCTTCCTCCTCTCTTGCTTACCATGGCCATAACTGAACACTTTTTCAAGCTTCATCCTTTGAGCACCTCCTGCATTGGTCGAGAAAACATCTGCCAGGTTTTCTTCTCAAACTTCTCTGTACTCTACAGAGCATAGAGCTGTTTCATCTATGTTTAGCCTCTCGGCCCTGTGCTCCCTTTATTGTGTGGAAAAGAGGGACAAGAGGTCCTTACCTGTAAAGCAGTGATTGAACACTTTTTTATCTTTTTCCAGCTTCAACTCCTTTATTCCCTTTTCAGGATCTTTCATTGAGAGGTACAAAGCACTGCATGTAAAGAGAACCACAGAAACTGTTACCAAATAAAACACTTTATCTTGTTCGTACCATAAAATCATTGTCATTCACAGGGTCTTCATGTTTTGCTGGCATATTGCTCTCTGCAGAACGATGGCATGGCTTAGTGCAATTTCCTGATGATTTATGTTGAAAAGCCTGGAGGCCTCACTACATCACTGTTGCAGCTGCAGGAGCAGAGGGGGGAGTGCACAAGCGATTCACCACATCCCCATATTTTGAGAATGGAAAAACTTGTGGTGACTGTAATGTGAACAGAGGAACACCCACTGCTGAGGCACCTTCACAGGGCCCCACAGCCTCGGTGCCAATAGGGGAGCTCACTGCTCTGTGCTGTCCTCCCCCAGAGGTCCTTGGTTGAGCAGAAAGCCTGTCACTGTGACATCTCCAAAACCAGAGTCCCTAAGTGACCTCAGTGAACCTTGGTGTGACTTCCTTTCTCCCACCCGCTTTTCACTTGCTCAGAACTCTAATTCCTCAGAGCTCTGGAATGACAAGAAGGATGAATATTATATACCACAACCTAAGTCCTTTGGCCTGTTAGTCAAGGTGATCCTCTGCTGAAGCCCGTGAAGTCAGATTTAGTTGGATCTTGGCCCTGTGCAGTTTTACCATCTTGTAAGGAGCGCTGCAGGCTCATTTGTACTTTGGTATTTACTGCTCAGAAGCAAAAAATAAGTTGTCCTTAATTTTTAAAAGCACTGACAAACAGATGGCTTTCTGCATGTGCCCTTTATCTCTTCTCCCTTTGCCAGTTCCAAGTTCTCTGGCAGGCACCACTCCTCTCACCATCCAAAAACTAGACTAACATCAGCGTTTCTCTGGAGAGCAAAGAAAAGGTTTAAAATACTTCTGCAATAAATTATATATTGTATAAAAACCTCTCCTGGAAGAATCACACTTTGGCTGGGGTCTGCTTTTGCACTGTATTGTGCTCAGAAATCTCCTTATCAGCAAAATCCTTTGATAAATAAGCACATTTTGGTAAAAGATGATGTATTAATAATGATCTTCCTAGTTCTGATCGCTAGCTTATTTCTGCCACATTGTACGCTCTGAAACTGTTAGTCATGCAGAAAGGACTCTGAAACCAGAGAAGTAGCATGGACAGACGTGCTCATAGCTCTTCCAGATTGAGGTTACATATCTGGCACACTGCCTGCAGATGGAAGTAAATGGGGGTGCAGAGCTATAAGAACAAACCTCAGATTGATTGTTTCAGGCAGCCTGATAGACTTTCTTGTGGATTTTCTGGCAAACCTTTGGCCTCCATCTATGCAGTGTATTGCTTTCTTGATATCCCGGACCCAGGCATCTCTCTCCTCCAGGTAGGCAGCTTGAAAAAAGTGGTCCTGCTGCTTGGCCGCAGTGAGCTTGAAGACAAACTGGAATGACAAATGATGGGTTTTTTTAAAAGTTACTTTGGTGTAGCTAGTTGGGCACGATTAATCTAGTACCACCACAGCATACAGCCTACCTTTGCCTAAGGGACTATGGAAAATGCCTTAGAGTCACAGTTAAATTAAACTCTAAAGAAAAACATAAACAGGCAGTGCAGGTGATCGACTCCTTTTGTTATTTCCCTGTGAGCAATCCTGACATTACCAGTATAGCCAAGGTGAGCAGCACTGATACAGCTGCTGATTTTAACTTTTGCTGGGAAGTTCAACACAGCTGAAAGGCTTATGGTGGGTGTAAACGTGTCTTAACATTTATAGAGATGTGGTCAGTCTGAGGGAGGAAAAAAAATCCCACATGGTATTGCTCAGCTACTGATTCACAAGGAGAGAAAAGGTCACAGTCACATTGGAGAGTGGTTGAACACATCTGCAGCCCAGCAGATCTTTAAGGGCTTGGTAGGGAGATGATACATCCAACCCCTGGCTACATCTAACGATCACTATCTATCTAAACACACTAGCAACAATGGAAAGACTGTATTTCCCAAAAATGAGAAAAGAATCTTTCAAACGTAGTTTTAAGTGGGGAAAAAATAACACCAACCTGAAAAAAACCCCACAAAGTTCACACATTTTTATCCAGTGATCTTTTGGATGGAAAATCTGGATCTAATTCCTCAGACAAACAGTTTTCCACTTCCTCTAAAACACTGTTCCCCATAAGTGGAACTGTAATTTGTTCCATAGTTGTATTAGAATAAATACAACAGGTTCTGACTCAGCAGGCATCTAAAAATGACAGACTAATCAGCAAGCAAACAGCATGGCTTTGAGGCCAAGTACAGCAGAGACTATCGTCAAAGAGCAGAGTGCGGTGAATCTACAACAATGAAATCAAAGCACTGAATGAGTCTACTGAAGCTCACATTTGTAAATGGCACAGTTCTGAACATCCCTAATACACATCTTCCAGACTGTTGCCAACGGGAAAAATTCCAACACCCTGAAATTGTGCAGAAGTCCCACTGACTTTCATGGAAGACCGATTTCAAACTTACAAAACAGTGGGTCCTCAAAAATCCACTTCAGACAGAAAAGTAACCATTTCTTATCTGACATTGTTCATATTTCCAGCAACACCCACCTTTTCTATTATGCAGTAAAGAGCTACATCCTGAATATCAATGTACGGTGTATGTGAAAAGCAAACAGAGACCTCTCCAAATCTCAATATCCAAGAGTCACGTTAACACACCAGATTAAGAGAATGAAATATCAAAGCATTAAAGCAAGCTTTTACCAAAGGAAAAACCAGCATTCTCGAAGTCGAAGAGCTGAGAAGCAACATACAGTGATGTCCTGGTTCTTGCCAGAACCAGGACAAGTGAAATGCTAAAGAGTTTTCATTTCCACTACACAGAGGAGACTGGGAAAGCTCTTTCTCTTAACTTTGGTTTTTAGAAAGCTAGGCCACTAAGCTAAACATCCAGGCTTCCTCTAGTGAAGAGCTTGAGTCTCCAATCCTAGAAGTGACCAAGTCTCCCTCTGATGATACCTGTTTGTGCTGTTGAGAAAATTAGACCATTAAACTGAACTAAACACCAACATTTTAGATAGTTTAAGTTAGGACAAGTGAATCTGACTATGAGCAACCATACATGATAACACTATCCACAGGAAAACCATGGGGAAAACAGACAAAGCACAAGTATTGCAGAATTAACATCTCATTAAGCAACGATCAAAGTTCAGGTCAAGAACAGCAAACAGTGGTAAATGCATTTTGAAAGAAAATCTCAAAATATGCAGTTGCATCCTCTTCTGAACAGGCTAGATATCTTTAACAAATCCAAGACTGATTTCCTTTCCCTCAGCACCTGCTTTTTGGAAATGATTTAGTAAACAAAGTGTGTTTGTGATGTGCCCTAAGGTTTCAAACTACGCCCTGATGCAGATGCACAAGCCGATTCAAAAAGCTGAAGTCTAGCCAGATGAATAAAAAAGTGTGCTCATGGCTCAGTAGTCCCTGCTCCAAACTGGGCCCAAGTGAGTGAAACTAGACTTAAAACTGACCTAATGAGAATTATCCCACTTTTCACCCTACAGAACTCCTGTCCGAAAAATATACTTTCATTTCTAGCCATATGAAGTAAACGTATGCAAACCACTAAGAATCAGAGTAATTCCCATAAGAGGAAGAACTGTATGTTTTGGCATGTAACCAATGAGAAGATAGGATGGAATGCAGAGGCTTTGGATTCAGCAATATAGTAAAATGTAAGATACAAAAATCAGGATACTATATTTTCAAGGAATACATGTAGAAATTTAGATTTCATCATATCAGGCGGTAACTACTTGTAAGAACAATCCCAGTGATGGCGTTGCTCATATGAATGAGCATGTTGCAGTTTTGACTGTTTGGACAGTGCAAATTTTAAGAGAAAATATGCCTCCAGGGCTGTTGGTCTATGAACTTGCAGAATGATCTCACCAACTCAATAAGGAGGATGTGCTCCAACACCTGCTGAAGTAATTTGGATCACTTCCATTGACTTCAGCAAACTCTTCATCAGATCTTACTTATGAAAAGGTATTTTGGATGCCTCAACTCTGAGGTCTGAGATCCTTCCTTTTTTCCCCTCTCTATTCTCCCTCAGAAAAGGCCTCAGCAACTAAAATGAAACATAATGTAAATTTCATTATGTAATCTCAATGTAAAATGAAGCATAATGTAAAACTCATTGCAGTCAACGGAATTATCCTCAAAGGCTTCATCATCCTTCACTACAGATGTATCTTCTGCAAACTGGTACATCCTCAAGCAACCCTTTGGGCAGGTGAGGAAGTCTCTCTCTCTGCCTTCAGCAGATATTGGATACTTCAGACCTCTCTGCCTATTTTGTAGAACGCACATACACTGGTGAATTATTTTTTCATTATTAAATGTGTTACTCTTACTGACATCTCCAAGCAACTACTATAGACCAATACTGGTGTCAATGCCTCTGTAGGAGTTTAAAAAAAACCAACCACAAATAAAACCCCCAAAATCAACAAACCACAAGACTGTTTGGGAAGAAATGCTCTGAGAAAAACAATTTATACCACTATAATGTAGGATCTGTGATACTCTTGAATATAGTACCCTCTCCCTATGCATTATACCTCATGTATAAAGTAAGAAGTGCTGTGCTAAGGCTTGTTAGATAATGTAGGAACACGGTTTCAAATCAGCAGAACTAGAACCAAATGTGTGCAGATATACTTAATTTCTGTTCCTTCATTTTGGTTATTTAATGTTCCTGCCCCATGCTCTAGTCTCTAGACATAATTATGCTTCACCTTTATTATTCATGTTTTGCAAATGATGTAAAGTCGTGCTGTAACAAAGAGGTCCCAGCCAGTGCCCAGGCAATGCAGTGACACACATCCATGCTAGCCAAAGCAGAAGATCAGATCCAAAGCCGCAGGGGTTAAACAGTAAAGGTTGCCCAGCCGTGCCTAAGGGTGGCTTGGGCAGGAGCTGTTAGCAATAAGGAAGAGTAAATGGGCTTGACCAGCAGTCTCAAACCCTTCTGAATCAGGTGGCCAACCTCCCTTGCCAGCTCAGGGATCAAAAAACCTGTGATGGGCATGGGGTGGGAATGCACGGCTGTGCAATTCTCCTTCCAGGCATGATAATACAGTCTCCTGTGGACAACTCCCAGTACCTAGAGAGAGCTAGGAAGAGCAGGTAGCTCTTGATGATCCTGCTCTGGGTGGGATTTCCAAGGTAACGGCCTCCTTCTAAAACCTTTTGTTCCCAGAAGCAGCCATCTACAACTTTGACTCAGCACAGGATTAACAGCAATCTTTATTCTCTGCTCCAACCTTTTATTATACTGACTCAAATAGCTTTTAAGTTAAGAGCTCCTTTTTCTTAACAGGTGTAAGTCTAAAAAGACTCCTGAAGAATCAACTTTTTTTTTCATATAAATATGAAGTCTGCACAAAGAAGAAAAATAAAGAAAAAGAAAAGAAACAAGTAGAAGAAAGAAGAAAGGAAGGAAAAAAGAAAGCCAGCAGGTCCAAACCTGAAACCAGGGACCCTGATGCCACTTACTGCAAAAGCTAAGGACAGGTATAATTCTCCTCACTTTACTCATATGAGAAAGCAAAGCTTGCTCTCTCACACTTTCTATTTTTCTAATGCTCTCAGAGACTTCTATCTTTGGTGAGGCATCCTTGCGGTAAATTTCTTTAAAGTGTAATTGGATAATCTTCCAGATTCTGGGGGATCCCTTTGTCACAGGAATTCCTGGGATTATAATGACTATCTGATGAAATTGAGTTGCTGAAATAAATGACCAAAGATATGATTGTTTGCTCATACTAGGAACCCTGTTTTACCAACAACTGTTTTTCAGGAACCCTGTAACAAGATATGTATGCTTGTACATTCATATTTCTGTATCTTATTTTGTGTCAAATAAGGCTCTGAATTTGTGAATATAGTCATCTGAGTGTTTCATTAGGAACTGGGACCTCAGTCTGTGCACTTGCTACCCTCAACCCCAAATGTCTAGGCAACATTTGACCTACTTTCCCTAAATCAGTTTTGGTTTTTGCTCTCTCTCTGAGTGTAGATGTGACTCTTAGTCACTTGCAAAAGCCCTACGAGTAACAGTGCAATGTGTGATTAATACAGAGGTATGTGGGGTCGGGTAGTTACCAAATAGTAATGAAAAGGTTTATGTTACATTAAATACAGGAGTTGATCCATTCAGCTGCTAAATGTCCCAACAATATAATTTAGCTCTGTTCTCTGACAGACTCAGAGATTTTTAAAAAAAAGAAAAATATAATCACTGTCTGAACTGCTCCTCTTGAAGTATCCTGAATTTTTCCTGAGCAGTCACACCTTTCAGACACTACACAAGTCCAAGCCTCTATGACAAGTGAGAGTCGCCGCTAGGTTAAGCATAAGGAATTTGTAACCACCAGCCTTGAGCACCTTCAGTGCCTCCAAGAGTATAAGTATACTGTCAATCATTGTTATAATAAAAAAGAACTTACCATTCTTTTGCCAAAATCTTGGCATGGGCTGTTAATAGAGCTTCCTTTTAGTGGGACCATCCCTTTGGGGCTGTTGTCAGCCTTCCGCTTGTAGAATTCAATTCCATCTTCTAAGAGTACAACCCACATCGGCTTCCAGGTATTAAACATGCTGCCCTGCATCAATAAATCACTGTGTATATTATGTTCAATAAATTACTCTTCAAATGATATCCACTGAAGATATGACCTTCCAGAGAGTCTGACTGATGTCAAAATAACTGTAGTTAGTGTCTCAAGGGGAACATACCACAATTGCTCCCATCTCACTACGCAGTTAAACATTGTTGTTATTCTTCTGACCACCATTAATTTCCCCTAATAGTCACCCCCGCCCTGAGTTTTTTCAAAATCACCTGCCCCAGCAGGTGTTTCTTCTCAGTATCAGTTAATCCTGACCACTGCCTTCAAGATGACATAGTGGCAATATTATGAATAATCCTCAAAATTTCTGAATGTGAACTGGCACATCAGAACTGTCTCATTAACTTGGGCATCCTGTGCTATATTTAGGACTTGATGCTACAATACAGTCAGTTGTTGAGGCTTGGCTGTCTGATAAGAAAGCACACATCTCAAGAGGATTTCTAGACATATAAGCACAAATTGTAAGAGTAACGAATAGTTTAAGGGTCTGCAGCTGCAGATCTCCAACTGCTGTGGTAAGGAATTTAATCTTTTAAAACTTTTACTTCCTATTCCTGAAACACAGCTGTTAGATGTAAGAAATACAGAGATAAAGACAGGGCTGGATCCTACATATAGTAAAACACACAGTAAAACTCTCAGACTCAGAGAGGAACAACCTGCTTCTCTGTGTTGAGCATGATTAACCACTAGAGTTACTAAGGCTGTTGCATTCTAGCTAGATGACCTCTCTGATCCTGCCTGCAACCAGCTTCAAAAGTGGTCACAATCCCAGATACCCAAGTGACTTACTGCTCAGCCAAATGAACATTTAGATATGCTGAATACCAACAGTTCCTCTGAGGAGTTACTAAAGCACAACCAACATTTGTGGGCTCCAAATCAGAGGCCATCCTTCAAAAAAAAAGTTTCCCTTGCTCTTTCCATTACAAAGAGACACGTAAATTTATCCTCCCCCTCCTACAACTCCATCCACAGCATTCCTGTCCTCCTCGGACCGTGGTGGCTGAGCAGTGCTAAACATGCAGACAGAAGCAAGGCAGCCACCATTGTGCTGTGCAAATGGCTTGGTTTGTTAAACCTGAGAGCTGAGCAGAGTTAGTTACATTTGCATTTTGTATTTCTGCAGAAGTGAACAGGACAGAAACATGCTGAGTCTTTTTTTTTTTTGTCTTTTTTTTTAACTCCCCAAATGAACCCTTTGTCTGCCACATCCTTTTTTGCTACCCTACCTTCCAAGAAAGGCCTTTTGCACTCTGAATCAAACCTTAGGCTCAACTACAGGGTGGGGAGGGAAAACAGTCAGCTGACATCTTAAGAGCAGGACCTGCCTCCCAACTCCACACCCCTCACTGGAAGCAGAAGGTGCCCCACAAATGAATGCTGTTTTCCAAAGGAAGGTCACTGCACTGGGGACTCTCTGGAAATGCAGCTAAACAGGGAACTACAAGGGAGAGTGTCATCCAGGTACCACATATGGGTTGACTGCTGTTTTCTTTTAATTCTTTTTTTTAAATAAACCATAAGAATTTACCATTTTCTGAGAGCCCAAATTAACCCACTTGTTGATTTTCTGCTAACAAATCAATTATGATGATGAGCCACGACAAGAACTCTTGCAATTTCCTTTTGTTTGTGAGTTTACCACAGGTTACAATACTCATAATACATATACAATACATAATACAATCCAATGCTCATAAACAGACAAGTCCAGTACTTGCTGAAGACCAGACTGACATGCTCTGCCAATGGAAGCCACCACGGAGCAGTTAGACTGGCAGTCTCAAGTCCACACCATCAGCAAACCCAAACATGGTCACATTGTTCACATCTAAAACATCTCATGAAAGACAAGCAAGATGCTGGATTTGATTTTCCTGGACTAAAAATCAAATTGTCACACCTACTCCAAAGACTGCAGATACAGATGGGTGTTCCTTGAATTGCTCTCTGAAATCATTAACCACTTTAAAAACACAGGCAACTTCCCTTTGGTAGAACAACTTCTTTTTATAACATCTGCACCACTACAAGATTAGAAAATTGTTTCTTAGGCTCAGATGATGGCACAAGGTCCCCCAAAATATACAAACAGAGATTTAAGCTAAGCTAAATCAACACTGAAGTCTGAGCCCACATTTACTGGAGGTCACAGTGTCTCAGCTAAAGCACTGACCCCAAGCACAGCACTGTTCCCTAGCCTAATGTAAATATCAAGAGGAGAAAGTCTGTGACAAATGGCTTTCACTCTCTAACAAAGAGAGCTGTGGCTGCATGGATGATTCCTTTGGGAGGTCAAATCCTTGGTTTCACTTTACAGGCATAAAGGAGAGGAGGAAAATACATAATTAGCAGGTAAGGTTAATCAGGAGCATGCTCATCCTTGCTGGAAGCTCTTGTTGTGGAATTCACAGCAGCCTCACTGATGTATCAAACAGCTGGTACCATCTGATCTGTTATCTTCCACTCCTTTTACTCTCCAGCCCTTCCTCTAGCACAGGCTACAAGCTGTTCTAGGAAATGGGCACAGTTACCACAACAGCACCCAGCAGCAACTTTAGTAGCACCTGCAGAGAGAGACTTTTGAGGGGCCCAGCACCCACAAGAATGTGAGGGGCTGACACTGGCACATCTGTATGCATCTTTTCCCTGCCATACCCAGCCAGGTGCACACAGGTTGGGACTGTCCCAGTGTCTAGGTTTCCAGCCATTCCCCTGTCAGGGAGGAATATATATCATGAGCCACTTGCTCAGACCATTGGAACTAGAGATCTGCAATCTGCACAGCATGAATTTGGTGCTCTCCTTCCTCACAACAGCATCGCTGCAGCTTTGCGATTACTTTATGCACTTAACTTCTTTTCAGTGTCAGTGAAAATAAGACTGAGGAGTGGCCTTTTCACAACATGGGTCCCAGACTAGAAATCCTTCTAGCCAGCTGATTGAATGAGTGAAATTCTCATTTTGATGAGCAAAGATACCACAGGAGAGAGCTCCTCTCTGTCTTCAGGACTGACACTATTTAGTTAGGCTGCTTTAAGCCAGACTGATCTCACTAAGGATTTAAATGAAAGTCAAGGCCTTATCCTATGGGCTCTTACAAAAAAGACTCCAGAGCAAAGGTTGCCATGGGGCGGCAACTGCCTTCCCAAAGAAGGGAAGTGTCTGTGGCCCCACACACTGTCTCTAGGCCAAGGTGCTCTGATCTCTTTGATCTCCCTATGCTTCCTTGATGTTTAAATCTGCAATTAAGTGAAATAGAGTAGGCTGCGGCCATTTCAAGCTGTTACCTGTTTTGCCAAGCTTCCACTAAGTGCATTCATTTATTTAGTAAAAATACAAATCTCCTGATCCAAAGGTACATCTGAGACATGTGCAAAATGCCTTATGTAATATTCTGACAAGATATAACTGCTAGCAAGTATCTCTATAATCACTAACACCGTATTAGTTTACTGCCCAAAGAATTCTGTTCATTTGCCTTTTCTTTTTGGAAAAAATGATCTTTTTTAAAAAACTGAAACCAAAGTATGTTTCACTACACTTTCCCAACCTGTTCAGAGTTCGCTTCCTCCTCCACTCAGTCCAAAACTGCACACTTACCTTCTTAACTAAGTAGCCCTCCCTTATGCGCATCGGTTCCCGCTCCATGTCTCAGGCAGTTGCACTCTCAGGTCTATCAGTGCTGGCAGTTAAGCTCCTCTGGCAACAAAGTTTGTGGGCTGGCGTTTTTACAGTACAGCTGTGTCACCTTCACAAGTTCCTCTGCTGGCTAATCACATGAAAACAAGCCCATTTCCTCTTACGGAGCGAGAGATAGGGAAACGCAGAAGTACATGCGTATTTATAGTTTGCCTCTGAAAGAATAGGCAACTAAATGCTCAACTGTATCAAATACGGCCAGCCTTGAGGACAGAGTCCTGGTAAATTAAATAAGCATTTTAGTGCCCAGTCTCAAGAAATCAGACCCACTCTGCAAATACATGAACTCTAGCAAAACAACAAACAGGGTGGCATACTGAGTTGCTGCCTGGTGCATGCCAAAAGGATCGCAGAGACAGGTTTCCAAGTCACCAGTTCTGTCATTTAATCCTGTCTTTGGAGTCTTTGGACTCCCAGTGGGTGAGCACATGGGGTCTGGCAGTGAGCTGGAAGGTCCTCACTTGGTTAACGATGATGCGCCCTCTGCTGATACAAGAAATTTGTTTATCAGATTTGATCAGGTTTTGGAGTTTGATGCTGAGGCCTCCCAGAGAGTTTAGCTGTTAAATAGGCATAAATAGATTAGACCATTGCCTTAGATAAAGCACTGCAGAATGTCACTTTCTACTTTCTCTGCAGAACTCATTTGGCTATATTTGGTAAAAGATAAGGCAAAACCGTTGATATGTACTAGAGTCACAATCCCTCTTCCCTGTACAGAAGGAAGGGTGGTGGTATATGGGAGATAATCAGGAGGCTGCTGCATTGCCAAGAGCAACGTATTCTTCCGTGCATGACACTCCAAATCACTTTTGCAGCTAAGCCTATTCAGATAAGGGTTGAGCCCAGGGTTACTCCATCCATCACCTCTGCCACTTTTGAAGATCCCAAAAGAGGGACTTTTTCTGCAGACAGAAATTCCTGCTCTCCTTTTGACTCTCTGGTTGTGTCAGCCTTTACTCAGAAGTATACAGAAGTCTGACAAGGTCTGTGATAGAGGATCAGAAGGTTAGAAGAGCCCTCAGAGGCTTTCTCTAGCCATTCCTCACTGATGATTTAGTAGTCCTCCCACAGATGAGATTCCACTCCTTCCTTGGTTATCTGTGTGCTTCACTATGCCAACTGCTGACTGTTTCTCCTTGCTGTCTGAATTGAAATTTTCCTTTCCAGACCTTTCTCAACTAGCTGCTCTTTAAATGATCCCTCCAGTCCCATTTTCAGGCAGAGCACCGGTGTGTACCAGCAATCTCAGGCTATACGCTTTGCAGTGTGTTCTACCCCAAACATAACTTTTTGCGATTATTTTATGTGTTATTAGGTTGTTCAGGTTTTGTTTCTAGAACCTACAGAGTCTCAGTACATTGTTCCTTTGCTCATGTAAATCATGCTATAGTGAGGATCTGATTGCTGTTAAAGGACCTAGTTGCTGACCCAGCCAATCATCCATTAGGCAGTTTGCAAATCAAAGATTCAATATATGCTTTCCAATTCTCTGTCAAGTGCACTTAACATCAGCCAACAGATTGTAAAATTATTACACAAACTCACACATAGCTAATAAAAGCTTCATGCTCTTTGGAAATGGAGCTAAAAGTAAAAATCTATCACTAAAAAGTGATCAAAAAGCTTTGTGTCACATTTACAGTAAAGAATCTGCCTACCAGTCCTAGGGCCTGGAATAAACTGAAGATGAATTCCAGATTTGAGATGATCTAACTGAATTTCTGAGTTACATTTCTGTGAAGACTCCATTTCCCATAAGCCTTAAAATGATGCTTGATGGACTCAGGAGCTTAGAGACTCCTTCTGTACCATGCTTTTTTGGGTCAGTAATTCCTTTTGCTTTAAGAATGTGAATTATTTCCTTCTCTTCCTTTTCATTCCAGTGGTTCCATCTTTGGGAAAAGGTACACTTTCCCCCCCCCCCCCCGGGGTGGGAAATGGTCCCCTTCCCCCCCCCCCCACTGGTTGGATAACCCAAAAATACAGGTCATAGACAATGACAACTCAAACTAAATATCTTTCCCTGTATGGCTGGAAGCCAAATTATCCCTTTGTTAGCTGCCTTGAGGTCATAATGCTACAGCACCTGGGGCGAGCATTAGAGGCCAAGAACTGGCTCACAGCTCTTCCTTCTGTCTCCACCTTGCTGCCCCTCAGACTAAGGAAACCCCTTCCCCAGCTGGAAGGGCTTACAGGGAACAAAGACAAAAGAATTTGCCAGCATTTTCTTCCCTGCAGGCAGCCTTTCCACAGGTTTTCCTGCTCGTCTGCTCCTGCTGGTTCAGTGTTTGTGCTGAGTCAGGATGACAGGGCCCTGCATGATAAATTGATGATATGAAATGTCCAGGGACAGATCCCCTTCAATAGAACATCTCTATGACCTTATACTAAAAAGTGGTTTAATGTGGACAGAAAAGGATAGTGACTCCACAATTTTGCAAAACCTCAGTTTCCCATTTACCTGCATGAAAAGCCCTTGAAGGTGTGAAATGCAATTCTAGACATGGTGGCACCAAGCCAATGGCTCCAGAATTTACCATTAGCTACTTAAGCAACTCAGTGTCAAAGCATAAAATTACCTCCATCCAATACTAGCTGGAAGCAACTGCTTTTACAACGCTTCTTTTCTCTATATTATTTCTACTTCATCTTCAAAGCTCAGCTATTCCTTCTGCCCTCCTACCTTATGTGTCTGGAACAATCCTTTTCTTTGAACACCGAGGCTTGGTTTCATTTATCACACATCACCACAGGGGAATCAGCACTTCATCTTCCCCCCCAGGCAGAAATGTGCTGATCAGCTAAATCATTCACCTGAAGCAAAATGGTCCTTAACCATGCAGTGGCCATGGCAGGTGTGTGGGACAGCCTGGACTGTTGATGCATGTCGTCTTTGTGCAGCCATTCCTAAAGAGCAGCACTGGGCATGAGAGAGACGAAGACTTGGGTTTTTTGTAGCTCTCCATAGAGAGTAGGATAGAGCTTTGCCTGGCAGAAAGAGAAAGTAATCTGCATTGTGGAAACCCACTATAACTCACCCTGTTCTCTCCATTTCTGTCCGAAGTAGGTAAAGGTGCGTGATGCTCGATTAGCAACGTTTGTCATAGTAGCACAATCTTCAACAAAGCTGAGTGTCTTTTACCTACTATTGTTTACTGGTAAGTGATCTGTTCTTGTATGGGAGATCTTGCTGTATTTCCTCAGAAAATTCTGGAGGTTTTTCTGCTACTTTAGGGTCCACTCTGGCAAGCATTTTTTAAAAAAAAAAAAGGGGGAAAAAAAGAAAAAAAGCAAGTAACAACATTTATCTGAGCAAGGGATCTAGCGGAGAGACTGACGGGCATCAGAGCCATATCTTTGCAAATAAATATGTCAGCTGCAAGGAAGGCAGTTTCTCAGCTTGTTACATCAGCTTCCCTGCTCTCTCTAGTAGCCCTTGTATAGCTGTTCTTCAAACATGTTTGCTGCATTGTAAATGCCATAAACCCACTCAATCTGTAAGAGAGCATGCAAGCTCTCCATAAATATGCATGTCTCCAGCAAATCAGGCTGCATTTCCAGAGGAAATGAAATCAAATGCTGTATGTTCAAAATTATTGTCTACACAGGAAAAATAATATACATAAGTGGTTTTCAAAAGTGATAAAGACTCCATCCAGGTTATAGTTTAGTAAAACCCTTTCTCACTTCTGCACAGAGGCAGAGGTCTCAAAAGAATTACAGTATTAAATTGAGAGCTGGCAAGTGCAAGTCTCAGCACAATTCACTCCATATGGAACCACACACATGGCTATTTTTAGCGAATGAGAGCTTGTGGCTTTGCATCCACATCTCAAAAAGAAACCCAATCCCAGAACATTTCCAAATTTAGCACAGTGTTAAGAAAGTAATCAAAGAGGGGCAAGCATGAAAAGACTATTACAGGTACTGTCCACACCACCTTGGAATCTAAAAGCTGTGAGTTGGCCATGATATATGTACCATCTTGTTCTGACCTCAAGGCACATTTTACATATTTAATTATTGTGGAGCTATGCAGCTGGATTAGCACATTAACTCTAAGTGGGAAGGACTGCATAAAAGGTAATAGTGAAAAGCTTATGCAGTTGACATATTATCATGCATAGAGAGATCATATTGAGTGGATGCAGTTAAGAGACCAAACGGATTTCTCCAGAATGTTTTCTAGACAAACTGGACCAACACAAAGTACAGGCCATGGCTTATCTGTGTATTAGCTCTGACTTTTCATTGGATGCATGCAACCTCACCTGTAACGTACTCACCTCTCCCCTACAGCAGCTTCCCATCAGAGATACACGCAGGTGATGTAGCTGCAGCAAGGAAGGCCTAGGCACAAGAGAGAGGTCTTGGAGGATAAAGCTGCAGTGCAAGAAGACTTTCCTAGTTGTGGGAAGAAAATGAAAATAGCTGAGCATGCTGGCTGCAGCTCACTTCAGGGAGCTCACCACTCCCTTCAAAAGCATTAAGGGGTTTGCCAGGGCACAGGGGAGTGCTTCAGTGTTCCTGCCGCAAGGGAAGAGAATCAGTTTAATGTACCTTGCTGACTCCAAACAGGTTGGGAGGCCTCAGGTGCCAGGAGATCAAAAGGTAGATTTGAAGGCTTGGGGGTGGGAGGAAAAAAAAAAGACAAAAAAAAGACAAAAAAAGCAAGCAGGTTTGCACTTTACAAAGACATTAAAGATTCCAACCCCCAGTAGAGAATGGAGGAATGGACACATTTATTTCTTTGTTCCTGGAAGTAAATTATTGCTGTGGCTTAGGAGAAATGGGACCTTGTCCTAAGCCTACGATGATCTATTTAGCTGTCAATTTCGTAAATGTCAGCACATTTGCTCTGTGCTCCTGGCAAAACCACACTGCCTCCTTCTTCCTGCAGGTATTTTGCTCCCTACAGAATATCAAGCAATTAACATCAAGTAATCATGCAGCAGCCTGGGGGCTAGGACCCACAGAAAATCCCCATGGGGACTAGAAGGG